TATTCATGCTTGAGATACGTACAAACGGTGAGTTATAAGTAATGACTTCATTATATTTAAAGAACCCGAAAAGTGGAAATGGAATAACGTATCATTATATTCCCAGAAAATAGTATTGTAAGGAAGAAACAATTATGAATCTCGCGACAATGCTTATTTAATGGTTTAACTCCACGTGTTCCCCTGCTAAGTAGTCAGTGTACAAATAGAAGGTCGGGTCAACTTGTGTCAACAGTGAGTGACGTCAGTTGTATAGCATCTATGCATAGTAGCTAAAACAACTATCTGTGCAGTGGGTCGATAAGCTTCGAAATTTTACGTGTGACAAGTGACAGCCTCATCTACCCAAATTTATCGTCCATTTTCTCATTATTGTTTCCCTAAAGTATGCTCAATAGTTGTTTTAGCTACGATACAAGTCACTGACGCAACAACAGACAAGTACTGACGAAAGTCGAGGAAGGATAAGAGAAGAAGGTTAATAGTTCTCCCGCGGTATATTTCATCAAACTATATTTTGTTTATATCAATATACGAATCAATAAAATAAATGTTTGAAGACTTAACAAGAGTTTATAATTAAGTAGACCAAATATGAGTATTTCGATAAAATCATTTAGTTTTCCGACTCACCAGAACAGACATTAGTATAAGAAATATTGGAAATATTTTCTTGTCCTAGAAGTTCGCGTGTTTGGTAATGGACTGAGTGGCTCTTCAACAGAATCTCCTTGTCGTGCTGCATTCCAATCTTTTGTATACTTTTTGTCAATCACACTTGTATAAAATACAACTCTCAAATTTGAATTTTTACAACAATAGAAGTATGTTTACATTTTCTCTCCCTGCATTATCGAAGAGCCACTGAGGAGTCAAATTTCTGTGTATCTGTTGCACCTCCTGGTAAACAGGATATGATCGTCCCATCAGATAATACTACACGTTATCACTGGGTGAGGTCTAGGTCCTGGGGGGTCACAGAATGGTCTAAATCCTGGATGTCAGGGTTTGGTCTAGACTCTAGATCCTTGTGTGTCAGGGTGTGGCCAAGACCCTATGTGTCAGAGTGTGATTTTGGTCCTGGTGTCTGTGTTGTCTAAATCTGTGGTTGTGAACCTTTTTGCCACCACGGTCCCCTTGTGTCCAGTAAAATATTTCAGGACCCTCTTGGCCTAGATAAGATATATGACCTCCCCAACAGAATTTATACAATGATAAGAAAAGTGTTTTCAAAATTTTGTTTATTAAACGAAAAATAGTTTGCAGTTTTTTACTGCTGCACTACTTGATACCTAATTGTATTACAAAACATATTAAAATAAAAGATCTTTTTATAATGAATGTGGATTTTTCAGAGTTGACTAAATATAAGCTCTCATCTGCTGCTGCTGCCTCGCATTAACCATGTCAATGTGCAGGTGATCCGTGATAATCAGACACGCATATCATTTTCAATGTTTAACTATAACCTGTATTTAGTTTTGATTGCTGCAATAGCTGAAGAACTAACCTCGCCCAATCGGTGGTGATGAATGGTATTAACACCTTCATTGCTGCTTTATGACTTACCTGAACTCATCACCACAATGAGCTCAGAATGTTTTCAGTGGCATTTTATTGAAACGACTCTGGGAGTGCCATCAGATAAGTCAATGAGCTCTTCCAAGAGTTTGGATAGAGGTGAATGGAAGCTCTGTATTAATGTTCTTCGTATGATTTGTGTAATCCATTGGTAAGAAGTAGCTTGCTCCTTTGTTATTTCAGGAAAATAACTTGTTGAAATTTACCAACATTCCTCATAGGTGTACTGTTGCCTGACGTTTGATGACGCTGAAATTCGTTTCTTTCTTGAATAATGAATCAACTCGTTCGTGCTGGGTCATGCTATTTATGTTTGTACCTCTTCATCTCTTTCTTGAGCTTGTTCATTACATTGAATATGTTTGGAAGATAGCTGAGTGTTTTCTTGTCCTGAGCAACGAATTTTACTTCCCAGGACCTGCTTGTTTTTTGACTCCCACTTTCCCCGACCTCCTTACAGAGTGCAATGAACAATCTGGAATTTGTGGCCTTTGCATTAAGAAGCTCACCTGTAGCGGATTATAGAGTGAGCAAATGGTGCCAACAATACAACATAAGAACATAAGACTGGAGGAAAGTGCAGCGGGCCTATTGGCCTATATAATACTAGGCAGTCCCGTTTACATCCAACCCCTATCGCTCACATATCCATCCAACCTATGTTTGAAGCTATCCAGCGTATTCGAGTTAATGATAATGTTTGGTAACTTGTTCCACTCGCTCACTCCTCTATTTCTAACCAATGTTTATCTATTTCGCGCCCAAATCTAAATTTGTCTAATTTAAAATCATTGGTACGAGCTCTCTCCAGGTTAGATAGTTTGAGTACGTTTGTAATGTCATCTTTGTTTAGCCCTGACTTTCATTTATACACCTCGATCATATGGCCCCTCACTGTACGTCTCTCGAGGCAAATTATGATGCTTTAACCCAGGGGTCACCAAACTACGGCCCGCGACGTCAGTTCATCAGGCCCGCTGACGGTACTTGAATTTGCTTGATAAAACGTATGGAACACGAGACGTTGTGATACAATTTAAATTTAAATATTATGTTTAGAATACTAGGAGATCTTCACGCGTGCGGAGACCTCCTGACTGCTATGTGCCTTAAATTTTTTATTTTCAATTTTAAATTATTGTATCTAGATTTTCTTGTTTATTGTAATGTTTGCTTATTTCGCGCCATCCCAAGTCCTTCCCCGGCTCGTGGTAGCTCCGCCTAAGCTCTGACGTTACCATGGTTTCCATGGCAACACACAAACACGCATCTTTCCCGCCCCCAGATGCGTCCGGCTGTCAACACAGGTCCGACGCTCCAGAAATATTTACTTCTTTTTGCCTGTCATCCATTTTATAGGTATGTAACAAGGATTTCTTTGTTTGACAGTGATAGGTAAGTGAACTACAAGTGTGATTAGAGGTCATAAAGTAACAAACATAGAACAACAATGCCATAGAAGCCTCGTGTTATTACGAAAATATTATCCCCAGCTCCTCACACCTGCTCATCAGCTGACTAGCGCAGGACATTTAAATTTTATTTACAAGCCACAATACCTATATTTTTGTCTGCTAATGCAATTTACAAGTGTGTTTCTCCAAATAAGTGTGTACATTGCAGTAGGTAAGTGAACTACAAGTGTGAATAGAGGCAATAAAGTAGCAAACATAGCATAACAATGCCATAGAAGCCTCGTGTTATTACGAAAATATTATCCCCAGCTCAGAAAAATTCCCCGGTCAAGGTGTTAATCGAGCTGGTCTCTAGGCTGTTTATTTAGGCCCGCCCTATTTATATATTTTGTAAACCTTATTATGTGATACATTCTATTACCAAAGGTACCTATAAACTTTATATGTACCTTTGGTGAGCCGTAGCTTCACCAGTGACCCCTGAATCCTCTGCTTTTCTTGTGTTTCAATAGGATTTTAATTATGTTTCTAATTCAATGTCTTTTTCATTTTCAGATCCCGTTTTCTTCACCCTTCATTATGTCTACTAAGAAAAGAAAAGTGGACGCCGAGTGTCGCGTTTACAATGAAGAATGGGGAGTAAAGTACTTCTTTGTGGAAACAAAGGACCAGAAAACTACTTGCGTAATATACAGCGAAAGTGTTGCCGTTTTGAAAGAGTACAATCTTCGGCGTCACTATGAAACAAAACATCTATCAACATATTCAAAGTTTTCTGGAAAGTTACGCTCTGAGAAATATGAGTCCATGAAACGTGGTTTAGAAACTCAAAGAAATCTCTTCACGAGAAAGTTTGCTGAAAATGAATCTGTCACTCGTACACGTTACAAAATAGTGCATAAGATGGCAGAACGAGGAAAACCGTTTACTGATGGCAACTTCATCAAAGAGTGTATGATGGAAGCAGCAAATGACTTGTGTCCTGAGAAAGCCGATTTGTTTGGAAGTATCAGCCTTTCGGCAAGTTCAGTTGTGCGGAGAACAGAAGAACTTGGAGAGAACATAGTGCTACAGATACGCGAGAAAGCTAAGAACTTGTTGTGGTATTCTCTGGTGCTGGATGAGTCTACTGATCTCTCGAGTACGTCACAACTTCTCGTGTTCATTCGTGGTGTCAATTTGGACTTTCAGATAACGGAAGAGTTGGCATCCGTTTGCAGCATGCATGGAACAACAACTGGAAAAGACATTTTCATGGAAGTGAAAAAAACTTTGCAAGACTATAACCTTCAGTGGAATCAGCTTCGAGGTGTTGCAGTTGATGGAGGAAAAAACATGGCTGGAGTGAGGAAGGGTCTGGTGGGGCAGATCAGGACTCAGTTGGAAGATTTGCAAATTCCGGGCTCTCTGTGCATACACTACATCATACATCAGCAAGCACTCTGTGGGAAAGACTTAGATATTTCTTGTGTACTGAAACCAGTCGTTTCTGCTGTGAACTTCATTCGGGGACATGCACTCAATCACCGTCAGTTCCAGGCTTTTCTTGAAGAAATTGATTCTGATTTCTGTGACTTGCCTTATCACACAGCAGTGAGGTGGCTCAGCTGCGGTAAAGTCCACAGCTGTCAGATCCTACCTGGCTGTCAAAGTTGTCATTTTTGGTCGACATCACATCCCACATGAATGAACTGAACTTGAAACTTCAGGGAAAGGATTACCTCGTCTGTGATCTCTACAGAATCATCAAAGGATTTCGGAGAAAGCTGTCATTGTTTGAAGCACAACTGGAAGGAGAAAACTTCTCTCATTTTCACTGTTTCAAAGAGGTTTGCGCTACAATCGCTGAAGATGTCAACCTCGATTTTCCGAAAAATATTATTCGTGACTTGAAGAAGCATTTTTTGAAGAGATTTTCAGATCTTGACAGAATTGAGAGTGACATTCTTCAGTTCCAGAATCCGTTTGATTGTAACCTTGATGATGTGCCAGTTGAACTACAGTTGGAGCTCATTGATTTGCAAGCAAATGACTTGTTGAAAGAGAAGCACAGAGAAGAAAAACTTGTTGAATTTTACCGCTGCTTACCTGATGTTGAGTTTCCGAAACTGAAGAAATTTGCCGCTGGTATGGCATCACTGTTTGGAACAACTTATGTCTGTGAGCAAACATTTTCAAAAATGAAGTATGTGAAGTCAACACATCGAACGAGATTGACTGATGAGCATTTGAAAGCAATTCTCTTGATTGGATGCAGCAGTTCCAAACCAAACATTGATGATATCTTGAAAGCCAAACGTCAGTTTCACAAATCCCACTAACCTTTTTTGCTGCTTAGTTTGTGAGATTCGGATATGTGCACACTATGTCTGATGCAACTATCTTTTTGCTAACGTCGCCTTCTTTGATAACTTTTTAGTAAATAAATATGTTGGTTGTCTTTGTTTTTTGTGCATTGCACGCCACTCACCCATGATTAACATGGAATGCTAACTTAGTTTTTCGTCTTTTTTCCCAGAGCTTTCGTTCTGGCTTGCAAGTATTGAACAGAATGATTATGCGGCCCGCGCTCGTCATTCTTTCAGTTATCCGGCCCACTGTGAAAAAAGTTTGGTGACCCCTGCTTTAACCTGTCTCTGTACTCGAGGTTCCTAATACCTGGGATTAGTGAGGGATCGGATCTCAGATTTGTGACCCCTACATATGCGGTTGTGTAATTTGACATCCGCAAATTTGTATTGTTATTCTGAATTCTAGTCTAGTTTCGTTTACATTCTTGAATTATGTATAATTGGGAATTGTCCAAGTGGGATGTATCACTAATGGTTTCAGAAGAAAGTGTAGATTCTTCTCTTATTATTAAGAGCCAAATATCTAATGGTTTTTTGAGCAAGTAAATACATTACAGGTAAAGTGCTCATTGCTATTATTTCTGTTTGATATAAATTGTTCTCAGATGAAAATGACGGCGAGGTGGGTGAGGTTGTGTGTTGTCGCGGTGTCACTGTTGATGTACGCCGCCTCAGTGACTGTGGTGCCGTCCATCACCTCTTATAAGGTAACCCACTCATCTTTTTCTCTAAATGTAATATGCTTTATAGCCTTATTTTGAACACCATTAACCAAGTTCTAGTTCAGGGGTTCTCAACCAGGGGGGAATTCCCCCCAGGGGGGGGAATTCAGGTTTTCAGGGGGTGGGGGGGGAAACTGATTCGGGAGCAAGAGATATGTTCGATGAGAAATCAATCACAGAATTTTGGCCCTTGATGTGCGATTCCTACCCAAAAGTGGCAGAAAGAGCTATCCGTGCATTGCTTCCGTTTGTGTCGACATATCTTTGTGAGTCAGACTTTTAAACTCTGTTGCAAATTAAAACGAAGCAACGTAGTAGATTAGAGGTAGAAAATGACCTGCGTTGTGCCCTTTCAAGCACTCCTCCGCGTATCCCAGAATTGGCGAAGAAAAAACAATCACAGGTTTCTCATTGACTGTAATCTTCATCTGAATAAAATTAATTATAAATTTACAATATCCTGGTATTCTATTGAACTTTTTGTTTATTGCATTATGCTTCAGTTTGGTCTTTTAAGTAATTCATTATAAAAAAAAAAAAACAATTTTACTTTTATTCAAGTTTTATAAATCCATCAACATTTTCAATTGGCATTTAATTTGTAAAACTCCACTATAAAAATAATCCATGTAAATTTGTAAATGTATATGTACTAATATGGAAAAAATAAAGGATTTTCAGTATTATATGCATATTATTTGGAATGCACTTTTTGAGGCAGACAATCTTGGAAAGGAGGGGGGGAATGACATTCTGACATGGTGAAAGGGGTGCATGGGGCAAACAAGGTTGAGAACCACTGCTCTAGTTAGATGATGAGTCAACATTGGGTCAGTATGCATACATTAGGCAGGTTGTGAAAAATTCTTCTAGAAGCATCTCTCAATCTGTGAATCACTTGTGACTGCCGTTTAGGAAGTTGACAGATATAGTAATTTACATGTAGAAGAAACATTACGATCTGGACTCCTACTGCAAGTGAGACACTCCCACCCTGGCTCTCCCCACAGGTTGTACCGAAGTTTCCTAATGAGCTCACTAGGTACTGTCTCCTCGAAGAAGTGATACTGGGGGCGGCCAGCACCTACCTCTGTGCCATGGAATGCCTCCACCACCCAGAGTGCCTCCTTTACTGCCTCAGAGGTCAGTGCTGCCTCGTATACTCACTGTTTAATCTCCTCCAAATTATGATACTATAGGTAACGTTTGTTTGGTTTATATTGTTACTTGGATTTTCTTATATTTAAAAATAAAATATAATTACATTGCAATGAGATTTCACGTCGCTCAACTATGGTGAAACAAAATGCGACATCAAATATTAATTTTGTGCTAATTATATTTGCAATATAGAAAGAAGACAAATTAAATGGAAAACAAGACTAATAGGAAACAAGCGAAATAAACTATATTGACCCTATTTGTACCGTTCTAGTTAAGGACGGTCAAGTCGAAGGGAATGATTGAAACCCGCCTTTTGACGCACTCACTTTTTATTGATATGATCAAAAACCTGTAGAGTATAGGGCGATCATTAGTATTACATGTTGATCCATCTGAAACATATTTTGTTAGTCTCACAATATTTTATCTTAAGTACAAAAGATCATTAAACATTATGACATAATACAAAGTACATAACTCTATTAATCGTATTGCTTCAGATAAAGCAGAAAATGAGTAGAAATAATTAGTCCACAATTTTTCAGTACTGAGGGGTACGTCATCACGTGGCTGTACTTACAAGTGAGGGTCGATGTAAATCAGTATGGTGTTCCAAGACACAACAGTACTGTGTAAATTGTCTTAGCACAGAACTCATGGACAGGAGAGGGTGGAGATGTTCTCAGTATGGCTGTAAAGCTTGGTCTGAGCGATAGGGAATGCCAGGCAGTCACCACCACCTGCAAAACTGTCTATTCAGCAGAAACCAGGACCGCTTGGCTCTAAGCATCCCTTCAGCTTGCTCCACTCCCCTTTCCTACATCTTTAATACTCTCTTAACTAAATTATTTCTAACAATTTATTAACACTGTCCACGCAGTACCCCGGGGTGGGTAACACTCGGAAACGGCTGTTCTATGGTTGCGACGTTTACAAACATCTGGTGAAGTAACCGGTCATGCAGCCACATGGGAGTCACAACACCTCTATAGTCTACAAGGGAGGTCAGGGAATGCGTGGTCGTAGGCTGAGAGGGAATGCGTGTCGTATATGAGAGATTTGTGTGCTGGGTAAGTGAGTCATAGATATACATTATTGTTGCTGCCAACTCAGTATGATTATATGCTAATATATATATGCCATACTATATTTATATATATATATATATATATATATATAATATATATATATATATATATATATATATATATATATATATATATAAATATATATATATATATATATATATATATATATATATATATATATATATATATATATATATATATGCAAGTAAATCACTGTAGGTGCGCGTGATCTAGGTATATGCTGATAACCACAAGGAAAGAAGAAAACACGAATTTCCCAAGCGCTTTCGTGTAATTCACATCTTCAGGGGTGAGTACAGACTAGAGAGAGTAATACAAATCAAGGTGTATATATACAGAGGAGGGTGAGACCAGGTCCACAATGGTCAGGTATTAGGTACGATACGATACGAAGTCTTTAGTTAAGAGGTGAAAGACGATTATTAGGAGTTGAAGGAAAAGTGGTGAAACTGAAATACAGTAGGAGTAGAAAGAATCTGGGCTCAACCAGATCGCTTCATCTTTCTTATTGGTGTTTTGTCTTTGTTCTGCTCCCTTGGGTCGTCAGACCTTTGTATTAATATTGGTTTATTTATATAATGCTGCTTATTATTATTATTTGTTATTGTTGGAGTTAGTGAGCCCGCCCAGGTCCTTGTGTAACTGGGAGGGTAGTCACTTTTTTTTGAGGTGTTAGTTAAGTGTTAGTTGTGTTAGTCTAAAGGTACACTGTATGGAGAGGCCTGCCAGGTTCTTAGTGGAGCTGGTTGGTCACTCTCATCTTTATTCCTCTAGTAATGTTTTATGTAGAAATGTGTATGTTGAGGCAGGAGGTGGTTCAATTACTTCTTCCTGGCTGATATAGCTGGGAGGGTAATCACATTATTATTATTAATATTATTAATATTTTTTTATTTTTTTATTTATTTTTTATTTAATTTTTTTTTGAGTTAGTGAGCCCGCCCAGGTCCTTGTGTAGCTGGGAGGGTAGTCACATTTTTATTTATTTATTTTTTTTTTTTTACTAAGATGTTAGTTCAATGTTAAATGTTAAATGTTAAATGTTAAATATTAGTTATGTTAGTCTAAAGGTACGCTGTATGGAGAGGCCTGCCAGGTTCTTGTGGAGCTGGTAGGTCACTCTCATCTTTTATTCTCTCTATTAATGTTTTATATGTATATTGGGGCAGGAGATGGTTCAATTACTTTCTTCCTGGCTGATTTAAACCAACTGTGTTCTTGGAATTCTTCGTTGTCTATATTATTTATCCAGTTTTGATATGTTTCTGTGTTAAGTTCAGTCACTTTTTTCCAAATATTTACAGCTTTGTTGTGTATATCTACATTGATTGCTAAGAGGTTTGCTCTCTTGTGTAGCTGTTCATTATTGATGTGGTCTGTATATTTTATGTTATATATAAATCTGAGGGCTATATTTTGTACTGTTTGTAACCTTTTAATGCACGTTTTACTAAGGGTGTTCAATGGGATGGGTGGGTAGTCCATAATTGATTTAACAAGGGCAATATAAATCTTTCTTTTGTTATTAATGCTAAGGTTCTTAAAGCGTTTTATTTTTGATAATCTTATTCTTGCCTGTCGTTCTTTATCTTTTAAGTATGTTATATATCCTCTTTTTGTTAGTTTTAATCCAAGCATCCTACCTTCAGTGTTCTTATGTCAATGTGGCATTTAAAAACTCATGCACTGTTAAACAAATGTTAATCAAGAACTCCCCCAACAACACAATTGGTTGCATTTATAAAGTTCCTTGCAAGGAATGTAATATGTTTTACTTAGGCCAGAAAGGTAAAGATCTTGCAACTAGAATCAAACAACACAAATACAGTGTTAGGACAG